TTCCTTTTTAACAGAATATTTTCTAAATTTGTAAAGTTCCTATAATTTATATAAAAAACAATTATTTTCAGTAAAAAAAATAAAAATATAATTGTTTTTTATATAAATTATAGGAACTTTACAAATTTAGAAAATATTCTGTTAAAAAGGAATAGTAAATTATATAGGAAAAAGTAAATTCCCAATGTTATAATGAAATATTATTTTATAAATGATTAGTATATGCTTAAGTGATGGTTAAGCATATCTTAAGCCATGGCTTAAGCATAACTTCAATACAAATTATGCATAAATTCAGCATAACGTCACCATAACTTCAGCATAACTTTTGGAGCAAAGCTACTTCCAAAAGTAATAGCAACTTGAAATTGCATGCAGAAAAATCTACGCATTAATTTTTGCAACTTCTTGCACAAGCAATCAATAATTCTATAGGTTTTATTAAGCTTGTAAGCTGTCTTTTACGTTGAAATGCTATTTACCATTTTCCTGTTTGTGTGCATATTTCTTTTGAGTTTATTTGTGAGTCCTGACGCTGTCTGTAACAGCATGTTCTTAACTTCACCATAAATTTACCATAACTTCAGACTAACTTTACCATAATCTTATGATAACTTCAGTATAAAGTAACCATAACTTTACCATAAATCTAGCATAACTTCAGGAGCTGAGCTACTTCCAAAGCTCACACAAATATGAGAATGCGACCAGAAAAGATTTTTATGAATGTAGTTTCAAATTTATGCAAGTTTTGAGACCAATCTCGTTACTGCCTTCACAGGCAATCGATACTACAGTATGTTTTATAAAGCTTGTAAGCTGTGGTTGTTACTTTTCTTATTTTTTTTTTACGACTTCTTTATTTATTGTGCAAATTTTCAGTGATTTCATTTTTGGCTTTTACACGTTCTAATTCCCATAACAGTACCATAACTTCTGTATAACATCAGCAAAACATTAAGCCAAATTATAGCATATATTTATCAAAACATCCGACACAAGTTTCGCATAACGTCAACATAACTTTACCATTTTTTAGCATAACTTTAGCAGGAGTGTACCATTACTTTAGTATAACTTTAGAAGGAAAGTTGCTCTGGCAACTTCTTATACAAGCAATCATTACTGCTTTGTGTTCTATAAATCTGTAGATTAAAAACGCGTACCATAAACAGGAAAATAATAAACAAGATTCAAACGTAAAACTACCAATAACAGCTTACAAGATTTATAGAACATAAAGCAAAAATGATTGCTTGTGTATAAGCTGTTATTGATAGTTTTACGTTTAAATCTTGTTTATTATTTCCCTGTTTATGGTGCGCATTTTTAATTTACATTTGGATTCTGCAACTGACTGGAACAGTTATGTTCTTAACTTCACCATAACTTCAGCATAAGTTTAGCATAATTTTACCATAAGCTCATCATAAGTTAAGCATAACTTCATCAGTTCAGCATACTTTCAGCATAAGTTCACCATAACTTCAGCATAAGTTCAGCATAACTTCACCATAACTTCAGCATAAGTTCAGCATAATTTTACCATAAGCTCATCATAAGTTTAGCATACTTTCAGCACAAGTTCACCATAACTTCAGCATAATTTTATCATAAGTTAAGCATAACTTCATCAGTTCAGCATACTTTCAGCATAAGTTCACCATAACTTCAGCATAAGTTCAGCATAACTTCACCATAACTTCATAAGTTCAGCATAATTTTACCATAAGCTCATCATAAGTTTAGCATAACTTCATCATAAGTTTAGCATAAGTTCACCATAACTTCAGCATAATTTTACCATAAGTTCATCATAACTTCACCATAATTTCAGCATAAGTTCAGCATAAGTTCACCATAACTTCAGCATAATTTTACCATAAGTTCATCATAAGTTCAGCATAACTTCACCATAACTTCAGCATAACTTCACCATAAGCTCATCATAAGTTCAGCATACTTTCACCATAACTTCAGCATACTTTTACTATAACTTCTCCATACCTTTACCATAACTTCAGGAGCAAGTCTACTTTTAAAGTTTACATAAATTTGAAATTGCGCTTAGAAAGATTTGGGCATTATTCTTTCAACTCTTTTTGCAAGAAATCAATACTGCTGTGTGTTTCAGACAGCTTTTAATCCGTTGCTGGCAGTTTGTCTATTTATTATGATATGAGTTTTTGTCTTAATGGAATCATCCATAAGTAGTATGACATGTATATTGTCAATGTCGTTATAACATTAATGATTATAAAAAAGTTTGCCAGAAATATATTTTGAAAAATAAACGGAAAAGATTTGCGTTTTCATATATGATGTTGTTAAATTCAATATTTTATATACTTTCAGATTTCCGTCAGATTAGACTTCTCTATATGTATTTTTAATAGGATATCTGACGTACAGTGGTGCCCAGCGTTGCCATTCCTAGTACATTTGTACTAGCGGCCGGATGGCCGAGCGGTCAAGGTGGCAGCCTACGGCTCTGGGGAACCTGGGTTCGAATCCGAACGGGTCGGAAAATCCTCAGGAATTTTTCGGGAGTGGTTCGTTCGGATATGTCGGACCCCATCCCCCACCACCTGGCAGCCCCATTGTGGGTCTGGCCGAACTCATGGGCTTGCAAAAAGAGGCCCTCTTAGTGCCCACAGGGCGGAAAGAGTTAAAAAAAAAGTACATTTGTACTTTTCGGATACATTTTGTCCTTTCGAGTTCATTGAAAGTACACTTAGATTTTTAGTACATTTTGAGTACATTATAATATTTCAGTACCATTTATGGTAGAAGATAATATTTCATGCCTTAATTAACGAAAAAATTAGTTTAATAAAGTCTCACTAGTGTCACTGCTTGCTAATTTGATTTATCCAATCACAACATACACATAGTGTATATCGGTGGACATCAACCATACAGATAGTTGCACGTGTAAATGTTATGATTCAGTGGTCCTCTTTCACATGTGTCACACATTTCAGTCGTCTAAACCAGTGGTTCTTAACCTTTTTATACTCGCGGCCCACCAAATATTTCATAATTTTTTCTGTGACCCCCATTTTTTAAATAATAATTTATATTTGTTAAATTATCTATAATAAATTGATTTTTTTATTACTACTTTATTTTTAAAATTCCAAGCACTAATAGTTTCTTAGAATTACTTTGGAATAAAAGAAGTAAATACTGCGGTGTAAGTAGCATATTTGCATTTATTTCTTCTGTACTAAGTAAGTTGTATGTAGGAAGAAATAAGAAATAAATAAAAAAAAAACTAAATACGAAAACTTTATGTTTCTTATTTCACTTTTCAATACGATATTCGGTTATACATCAATTTTCTTCTTTTTATTATATTCTAAAGGAAATTTTGCATAATTTGGTGGCCCCCGGCAAACTTCTTATGTACCCCAGGGGGCCGCGGGGGGCCCAGGGGGCCTCCTTGTTAAGAAACACTGGTCTACACATTCTCACGAGGACTTTGACAAAATTTTTCACGCTACGTGGTCCAAACAATTCAACTCTGTCAAACAAAAATAATGGACAGATCAGGAAATCAATGATTTTAAACTTTTGTCATCAATAATATCAAAATATCCGTTAAGTCAGAGTCGAATTATTACACAAAATAGTTTTGAAATTGTACAGTACAAGTATAAATAATATAAATACTTTTATATATTTTCTACCACTATAATTTAATTCTTAATTATGAACTTCAATTTTAGTAATCTTGGTAAAAGAAATAACTTTTTTAAATTTGAACCTGTCCACGCATATTTAATTTATAATTTTTTTACCCATCATTATAATATTTTTAAAAAATCAACTTTTAATGTTGTATTTAACAAAAAACCATAGAAACTATTTTCATAAAATCTTTTTATGGAATACTAGCAGACCCCGCCACGCCTTGTTGTGGCTCAAAATGTATCTATTATAAATGTATAGCACTTCCCCCGTGGGGGAAAATTTTTCGAAAAATTTTTTCTTAGTGTACATTCTCTTGACGTACCCTATTAAAACGCAATCAAAAGCGCAAAAACCCGCATCTAAAATAGTATAATAGAAGCCAAGTTTTTCACAGTAAGCCTTAATCCTNAAAACTTGTTTCTTAATCAGATAATGTTGAAACTTTGCTGTATAAAACAAACATAATATTAAAAACTTTAAAATTTTCGTTCAATAATCTCTTATCTAGAGTAATATATTTTGTGAGTGCTTAAATAAAATAAGGAAAAATGATTGAAAAATATAATCTCTATTTAGAGTGAACCTGTTATTGAATCTAGGGAACAGATATAGAGACAAAATTAAGTAAAAAAAAAAAAAAAAAAACAGACAAAAATGTTTTGTTTCATTTTTAAGGAATATAATTTATAAGATTAATACATAATTTTTTAATCATATGCAAATTTAGTATATTGATTAATGCTTTTAAAACTTTTTAAAATTTGATTTGTCAATCTGGTACTAGAATACAGTTTCTAATTCAATAGAATGCAATCTATTGAATTAGAAACTATGTTCTGGTAGGAACTTATATGTAGGAACTGCATATAATTTGAATTAACTTTAGTTATGGTGTGTAACTTTATTATATATTGAATAAAATTGTAGTGAGACAAGTTGGAACATTGTTGATTGTGAAACGGATTTATTTGAGATTACAATAAAGAAATTCATATATGTAAGCTCTGACTTATTCTATACAAGAACATTGGGAATGTTTCTGTTATTCAAATAAAATATTTAACATGCATTTGTAAATGTAAACTTGTAAAGTTCAACAAAGATACCAGATGTGGATACAAGCAGAGAAAATCCCTAGCATGGAATCTTGTTTGAACAAAAAAAAGGGGGTAGTTTCATGTGTAAACAAAGAAAAAGAACAAATAAGTAATATTTGCTAGAACAACAATTGTAGTTATTCTAGTCCTTTAGATATTAATTCTCAGATGTGAATTATAATCAAAATGAATTATAATTTAATTTGCTTTACATAAAATAAAATATATTTTTAGACAATTATATATTATTTATTTATTACATTATTACAGTTATAAATTCATTAAAATATTACTTATTATAAAAATTAATATATTAAATTTATACAGTTAAAGTGGTTTCTGATACAGAAAACTTGATATCATCTTAAAGGCAGGTCCAGGCTTATCTTGAGGCACCATGTGACCAGATCCCTATTAAAATATAATGTTAATTTTACAAAAATTCATATAGAATTGTGATTTGTGCAGTTTATTTTATGTGATTTTGAAATAACACAATCTCTTTCTTACTTACAAGTAATAATAAGTAAATAAACCTTATATTAAAAAAAATTAAATAAGACTATATATTCATGAAGTTATTAAAAAAATCTACACACACTCACAGACAGACACAGAGAGAGAGAGAGAGAGAGAGATACATTCTTCAATTGTAGTTTAATTCTTAATTCTTACCTTAATTGTCATGTAAGTCAAATTTCCAAACTTCTTATAATAGCCAGCAATTTGATCATTAAATTCCCAATATTTATATTCAGATGTCACCTATAAAAATATTTATAAAATTNTTTATTATTATTAAATATTTTAATTCTTAAAACTTTAAAAAAATATTACCTTGAATGAAAGATCATCAACAAACCACTGATCACCTAAGAAATTACAAGCCATATCGACATCACCATTGTATATCAGACCTCGTAATTTTCCAGAATTAATTAATTTGGTTACTTGTGGTTTCATTGTGTTATATAATCTTTGATATCCTATTTCAACATCTAAACTGTAATATAAAAATATATTTTTATATAAATATTAGAATTAATAAAAGTCAAAAATGCATTTTGCATCAACAAATGAATGATCATGACTGGTGTATATTAAAATGTATAAAAAAGGATTATATATGACAAGGGGTCATTGGAGATAGTTTTTGAAACAAAAAACAAACACTTAGATTTACAAAATACAGTGGGTGATCGGTTAACGAACATAATCTGTTCCAAGACTTTGTTTGCTATCTGAATTGTTCGTTAGCCGATTATCGATTTACCATAGGTTTTTACGGGAATTTGATTAATTCATTCTGGAGACCCCAAAAAATAAAAAAAATATATACTTTCGTTTATTTATATGTAATAATGAAAATACATATATACACAGTCTTGAATTTTTATTAATCATTATTAATCATGTTTTTATTCGTTTGTGTGGTTAAAGAATCTGTCTAATGTTGATTGCTTTTCTCTCTTCTTCAGGATTTTTCAGAAGTAATTAATAGCATTACAATTGTAGAGATCTGCAAGCATATTAACCTCAACCCGGTTTGGATGCCATTCTAAGACCATTGTTCTGACATCCCACTTCTTCAAAAGATCTTTAATAGCAGATATCGGCATTGATCCTCTTTTTCAGAAGAAAACATATCTTGGTGAGTTTCTTGGTGTTCTTCATTCAAGAGTCCTTGGCATTCTTCTGTCCTCAGATCAGTTTCAGGTTCCATTATGAGCTCTTCAATGCTCTTTATTTCTCAGATGTAATTTTTGTTACTTTTTAATTTGCTTGTGTCTTCTTGATTATACAGTATCTTTCTTAGATAAGATTGAACTGAGGCCTACTGTACACCTGTTCAAGCCATACTGCCCAGCAACATCAGACATCTTCTACCCACTCTCTACCTTTACTATTATACTCTCACCTTTTGAAAATAAATACCCATGCAAAACTTAACGAGTGCCTGCCAACAGTCTCACGAATACTGTAAAAGAATTGTTTCTATCAGAAAAATAAAAGGCTGAAATTACAAGGTAGAGTTTCAAAGTTTGGAGAAATAATATCCAAGCAGTATATACTGGGTTGAGTGTTGATATCGACGTCTCCTGCGCTCCAAAAAGTTTCAAATTGTTGCCTGAAGACCAATCAGTATTCATTATTTTATGTCGCTTCTTCTTGTGTTTGTTCTGTGAGGTGTTCATTGTCCGAACATAAAAATCTTTCGCAAAAGTGTTCGTTATCCAATCACCCACTGTATTTGAAGAATGGTAAGATTATTATTGAAAGATAAATGAAGCTACTCACCTGCAGATATCCCATCTTTGGACATTAGAAGGAATATGCAATGCTTCACGTACAGACTGTTGATTAAGCCATTTTCTGAGATTTGAACTGTCAACACAAGGTGGATCATCATGTAAAATTACATTCTAGAAAATAAAATTTTTTATTTCCAATTAAATTATTATTAAAAATAATATATTTTGTTTAAAATTAAAATTACCTTATTTCCCATAAAAGTACTAAATAATAATTTACGGTCTATTTGATCCCTCGATGGCTTATACGAGGAGTGTTGACAGTCAGAATATAAATTATATACATTCAGTCCTTGACCCTGAATTATAAATGTTGCTTTTGCCACCTACAGTATAAATTATATTTTAAATTGAATGCAATACTAAAAAATATTAATTCAAAGTCATAAAAATGATGTTTTTTGAGATACATCATGTTACTTACTGCTCCACTACATGCAGCTGTTTCTCCACTTACAAAGTTACAATTTTTCTGTGATGCACCACCATTGCAACAATTTGATGTTAAATCATTCCATAAGCTGTAATAAAAATTACAGTTAAAGATATTGTCAGAATAATAAACATTAAAATCCAATTGGTAAAATAATAAGAATGAATGTACTATTAAAAAGCTCTTTACAATGGAAGCAACATACTAAAACATTTGTAGAGTGTCTTTGCAATTATTCCTTTTCACACACCCTAAGAACACGACAAAATCATAATTCAATGCTTTTTTTTATATAAAAAATTTTTGGACATTGCTTTTTTTTATATAAAAAATTAACTTGTATACAGACCATAGAATCTGCTTAATGTAATCACTTTGGAACTTATCTAAACTAATAACAATAACCAAATGATAACATTAAGCAAGTTAAATAAATAAAACTAGAATTAGTAAAAATTATGTTTTAGTGACTCTGGCATTAAAAGGCCACATTAAAACAATTAAAAAAAAGTATTTAACTCGAAGAATTATAAAAAGAAAAAACATATAGTTAGCAAAATCAAAATCTTTTTGTACAGGCCAAAAATGTATTATAATTATGGTCTTTACTTTTGTTTACTTTAATTTTGCTTTTTTTAAAAAAGTAATAGAGAGGTTGAGGCGCACGTTTTAAACGTGTAAACGTTTAAAACGTGTGACGTTCGGCGCCGCTTTCCCGTAAGCCTAAAAGTTTGACGATGGTGTTTGGAATGTCGAGCGTGATTCCACCGACTATCCAAACACCATTGTCAAACTTTTAGGCTTACGGGAAAGCGGCGCCGAACGTCACACGTACACGTTTACACGTTTAAAACGTGCGCCTCAACCTCTCTAATGTAATTGTAAAACAACTTGTAACCCAAACTTTAAACTAGAGGAACAGAACTATCTGAAATGAATATTTAATAAAGTAGAACAGCCAAAAAAGTTCCTTGGTGTCCAAGTGAAAACATTTCTCGAAAGGTGCGATAAGTACTTAGACTAGAAGCCAATATGTAAGTTTGAAAAAAATTAAATTTGAAAAGAAGGACAAGAAGCAGAGAGTTTATAACTGTAATTTTAAACAAATTTTTCAAAATAATTATGCCAATTCTTTCAACTTTTTATACAATTAAACAACTATTTTAATTTACAATTTAATCTGATATTTATTTTCATTAAATGCAAAATAATAAGAATCTGAGAGAGAGAGAAACTTTTGACAACTTTAACAATTAATTTATTCAAAATAATAATTAAATACAGCTTATTTAAGCATATTTAATTCTCTCTTGAATATTCTCAAAACTGATGATTTATAAAATTAATAATGAAGAAATGTTATTCTGTTATTCACAAAAAGTTACTTTCAGTAGTCACTGCTATATATAGTGTGTCCCATAATGACACTGATAAACTTCAGTTACTTATATAAGACACCAAAAAGCCCTTGTTATCAATAAATCCATGTTTGCAAATGAATCACTTTGGCAATAAAGTTCCACAGACTATTGACCTCAAATTATTTTCTTTGTTGGTTTTTCAGTTGCCTCTTGGAATAGTTGCTCAATTTTTTTCTCGCATAAAAAAAGGAGGATACTATACAATGAAAAACATTTAAAACAAAGTAGTTTGTTCTAAATATATTTTGACTAAATGTAAATTATAAAACATTAAATACAGTTGCTCCCCTACTTAGGAATGCTCAACTTATAAACTTCAGACTTATGAGCAATTTTGATCATACATCTAAAATACACACAGATTCTGAAGTTCTCTTGTCACTCATGAAGTGGCATTGAAGTTCGACTGACCAGTACAGTAATAAATAATAAATTTTAATAACTAATTAATGTGGGCTTATTACAATTGCATATCATCATTTTCACTTTCATATGAATTCTAAGGCTCCATTGCCATTCATGAGGTGGTGGTGAAGTTGGCAACATTGGAGTAATGGCATTTTTTTGTTGTTTGCAATTTTTATAAACTTTTAAAATTAGTGCATCAAAAAATGCATTCAAAATATAATAGTAAATCTAGCAGTGCAGATAAATGCAAGAAGTATCACGCTACTACCTTGGAAACTAAACTGGACATTATAAAAATAAGTGCATTAGGTGAAAAAACCACATTTGAAATACCCGCTACTAAGCAGTAGTGAGTGGGTAGAGTGTAATGTATTCTATTAGGGGAAGTCAAATGAAAACGAGACAGATGGGAAAAAAGTAAGTAAACTGTTTATTATTTCAAAAGTAATTGCCATAACTGTTAATACATTTATACCACTGTGAGACAAGACAGTCAATGCCTTCATATAAAAATGTTTGCAGTTGCTTATGGAACCATGATTGCACCCAGGCATGCACCTTTTCGTCTGAAGCAAATTGACAGCCACGAATGTCTTTCTTCGGGGCTCCAAAAATATGGAAATCGCATGAGGAGAAATCGGGACTGTATGGAGGATGTGTATGAACTACGCTGCAGAAGTTCCCAGCAAAACTTCTGCAGCATAGTCAAAACAATCTTGGTAACATGTGGGTGGGCATTATCTTGCAACAGAATGATGCTGTCTGTCAACATTCCTGGGTGTTTGGATTTGATGGCACGCTTCAATTTTTGCATAGTTTCTATGTACCACTGTGCGTTAATTGTGGCACCATGTTCCAGAAAGTCAACGAGCAGCAGACCTCCGTAGTGATGGTGGACGCACATACATCTCACCGACCTCACTACAACTCACAGACAAATAGCACAGTGGTAAACATTTACGCTGTTCCTTCCTGATTCCCAACAGAGGGCACTTCTATATACACATCTACCTGCATTACCAACTTCCGTGCCGCACTTGTTATATAGTCTGTCTCGTTTGACTGCCCCTAATATTAAGTACTTTGAAGGAATAAACACTAGCAATAAGTGTTTCTGTGTCACTAAGAATCATAATAAATTATTCTGTATACAAATGTACTGGTACCTTCTAGGTTAGTTTTTGACTTACAACAAAACCTCAGGAATCTAACCTGTTTGTAACTGGAGGCCCCTGTAGACAATAAATAGGGTTTTAAACTATATTAAAGATTAGAATACTATAGACTGCTGCAAACACCACTCTAATTGAGTCTCTAAATGTTATTTGTTTGTCTGACTGATTAATAGTAGTGACTTTTGCTTCCTGTTACCTAGTGAGTGATAAGATGAAACTATTACTTTAGAATGGTGGTCATCAAAGTGGGTGCTACCGCCCCCCTGTGGATGGTGAGTAAATCTAGGGGGACACTGGAGGCAGGATACTGAACAGTGACCAAAGGCAAAAGCCTGACAGCCTTTGGTTTCCATATGTTGAGAACAATGTACGGTAAGGGTACAAAGTGTGAGATTCATAGAAAAGTTTTCCTAAGAATATTTCCAATCCTTTCTCAAACAAGAGAAAATGAGTTAGGGGGCATTGGGTATAACTTTATGGAACAAAGGGGGTGGTGGATCGAAAAAGTTTGGGAATCACTGCTTTAGAATAAGAAAATAAACTATTAAATCATCATGTGTTGGTGATATTTTAGAGAAGATAAAGTAAAAGTAAATGAAAACAAATAATTAAAATTGTAACACTCAAGAGGAAGATGTTATTAATTAATAAAGAGGATGATAGGAAGACAATACAGTTCAATAGAGGACTGTTGGGAATCCTACAACTTACTTCATCTAGTCTGACTTTGGCAGGAATATGATGTTCATGGATAAAGCATGCTTCACACAGGATAATTTCTTCAATAGTCACAACAGCTAAATATGGAATGTTATGACTATTGATGATTCTCATAAAAATTCTCTTGCTACCACCCTTAGAACAGATCAACAGTTTGCTATCAATGTTTCAGCCATTATTGTCAGAGATAATTTGATTGATCCATACATGTTGCAATATTGTTTGAATCCTTACATTTACAGTGAATTCTCCCATCTCCAGTCCTCTCATATCCAGGCTGATCAAAGGCAACCAAAAATTTTCAAATATATTGTGCACTACTCCAAATCCTACAATTCCATATTGCAGTGTTTACATTTTAAAATTTTTTAAATTAAGGTAGCATTGAACAAGAAATCATCAAGAACACAATGCTTCAACTGCCACTGACATGATAATAATGAGGCATTGATGTGTGTTGCAGCTAGTCAGCAAGACAAGAAAATTAAAAAATAACAAACTTTAACACAATACTTTCAAATTTAACTGTACTTGTAATTGTCAAAAGTAAGCATCAAAGTCAAAATAAACATTTTTTATACATTCAGTAAACACACATATGATAGTCTTTAAAAATTATCACACTCTCTTATCCAGATTTTTCTAATATTTGAATCACTTCTGTCCACATTAGTTCTGATAAAGGAGTGTCTACTGTATCTCCAGTTCCTGCAACATGTTCTATTAGACCTTTTAGATGATGACCCTTTGAACATATGGCAAGATGTGGTTTTAACAAGGTTTTAACACTTCAGTTTAAACATGCAGGAGTATCAGCATCAGAATTTCCCAACTACTGGATTGGAAAAGGAGGGTCCTATAGCGTGGTCTTCATAATCTCTTGATCTTATCCCTCTTGACTTCTTTCTTTAGATTATGTGAAACTTTGATGTAAGTAATTTATTAACATTTTATTAAAAATAATGCTGATCCATCTAGTAGTCACATATTCATGAACAGTTGCTCTTGACATAATTGTTCCTGATGTTAATATAATCATTGACAATTCTTATAATAATTTGATTTCTACACTTTCTATTGTTGTGATCTTAGGCTTCAAGCTTTCTTTACAAAAGTGCTATCAACTACAAGATTATTGATATCTTTTCTGAAGTTAAAAGATTTTAAAACAATGAAATATCAACAATATCTTGTATAAAGTATTACTATCTACTATAGATTCTTTCATTACAAATTCCTTAAGATTACAAAACAAAGCATTTTTTAAATAAATATATTTACATAGGTTCATAAAACAGACATTTATTACTCTTTTAATCTTCATTTTTAAACTTTTCCGTTATTCAATAATTAAATCTGTTTAAAAAATATATATGTAAAAAAGGCTAGTTAATTCAAGTAAATATAAACATTAGAAATTTTCACTTTCTTCTAATAGTTAAAAAAGAATTAAACTTGTGACTTTATAATCATTATATGATTATTGTTTTTCCATTAAGAATTTTTTGGAAACTTGTAGTTTATTATTATTATAATTACCTTATATATTTTATAAATATCAAAATAAATACAACTTACTTTTTACCAAAAAGACCATGATAATAACCAAAGAATATCAAGGAGTTTCCTAAAAATGACACATCCAAATAACCATTTCCAATTGCAAATCCCTGAAAACCAAATGTGCTATTAATTAACCCAAGTTCAAAAACTTCAGAAGTGTCTAATTAACTTTAGAACATATTCTAATAACTTACTTTAAAATTAATTTTTGCCGGTCCAGTAAATACTCTCATGGAAAGTGTTGGAATGTAAATTCCACCATAACTTTCACCTGATATATAAAAATCATTTTTCTTAAATTGAGGATATTTAATGAAAAAATTCTGCAGAGCCAAATAATTATCTTCTGAAACTTTATCATCATCAGTACTGTAGTCCTGATTATCATCATAAGAAAATCCAACACCTGCAGGAGCTTCTAAGTATAACACGTTGGCTATCTAAGAATGAAATATTTATAACAGATTATGAAAAACTATATAATTTTTTTGAAACGAGTAAACCTTTATATGTAAATAACTGATAATATATTACTCATTAAATTTTGGAGAGACATCACTTAAAGAACCATGTGACAAACGGTTCATGTAAATGAATCTATCCAACATTGATGGTCTAAAAAAAACAAAAAATTATGATAATAGAATTTGATATTGATAGGCTCATATCAGATGAACAATGGATATTAATGACAATCAGTGATGACAATAGAAACTGCACTATAATGTAGTACAGTATTAGTAATAACAGAATTAGTCCTTATATCAATGCGATGTTTCAAATGGGCATCAGAACTAGACACAGCATAACTAATCCACCTTTAATTTCCCAGAATTTGTTCTGTGTGTCAAACAAACATTTTCACTCTTTCTAAAGAATCATCTTCAGGTTCAACAAACATAATACATTTATATCATTTGTAATACAAACTGTGTTGTAATAAATGCACAATGTGGCAGCAGGGTAAAGTAAAAAGGGAACTGCTTGGTTGGAACAGAGAGTTTAATATATGCTGTATAGAGTATACATACCAAAAAATGAAAGGAGATAAGGTACAAAGTACAAAAATTTTCTTATATAAACAAAGGCATCATCTGACAATCATCTGACAATCATCTGGAATGTCCCTAGGAGAATGTCATGACACTCTCACCAACAAATTGTTATCCAATGAATTTACCAGAACACACTCAAAATTTAAAGTAAATAAATGCATGTGTTTTCCAACTAATTACATGTTGCCCTCATTTATACCAGTGATGCATTCATAGAGGAGGAATTGTTTGTTATTACAGGTTACCCCCATATGACACGGGAGTTACATTCCAAAAAATTGCCATGTTATGCGAATCCGTGTTATATGAAACAAAGAACTAGTGTGAAAAGGGAGTTAGGTTCCAAAAATTAAAAAACATGTTGTTAAATCCTTATTTAAATTGGATTTATTATTCATTTTTTTCATAGGTAAAATACTTATTTATTATTTAAGTAAATATTTTACCAGAGGATTATTCATCCTATATGATGATCTCAGCATGAGTATCATCAACTGGTAACAGTTTTTGGGTGCGTTCATTAATAGCAGTCGCTCTGCAACAGGAGTGCGTTGCTGTTTGTAGGCATTTAGGAATGACGGTGAAAGAAAGATGGCAGCACCCGCACTATCGATAGTATCATGATGGAGTAATCTATAATTCTAAAATGAGCTTTTAGAGGCAAAAGAAGAGTCCCAATTGTAAAATTTATCCATTAAATGGATTATTTGTTGAAAGAGCATTCAAAGTAGTCATGAAAACAATTAGAATGCTTGCGTGGAGTTATGCGGTGGTATAAAAGAATGCACCCTTTATTACATTTCATGTTGTATGAGGGTTTTACCCAATTCCTGAACCGTGTTAGAGTGAACCCGTGCTATAGAAGTGCCGTGTTATACAGGAGTTACCTGTATGTATGTTATACAGTATATACAAAATATGTTTGTTATTAAAATATATATACAAATATATATTTTTTAATATTGTTCTTTTACCATCAAAATTAAATCTAAAAGTAAGTTTTAAAATAACACCTGTGAAAGAAAATACTTGTTTTATCTTCTATGCATTTGGAGCTAGAACTACAGTGTACCTGAAGAAGGCTTATTAAGAAGGCTGAAAACGTTTGTACTCATCTATAAATGGCTAGAAAAAAGTGAGAAAAGTTTTGCCTTGGTCATCTTAAAATAGTTCTAGCTACAAATGCATAGAAGTGTAATTTGTGTGTACATTTTAAATATATATAAATAAAATTATATAGTTTACAGATTATGTTAATTTGTAATTATATGAAGTTTACACTATTAAAAAATCCAGCAGAGAATTGTATAACTTTCCCAGCTGTTATGACATTTGATTATAAAAAACTTTTTATCTGTATCCTCAAAATTAAGCATTTTACCATTTTATAAGTTTTATAAAAATAAAAATTGTAAATACTGATAAGAAAATCTTAAAGTCCAATCCCTCTGAAGAGATAATACATAACCCCGCTCTATATCTCCCCACTTCCTTGACATTTAACAGCATCAATGTCCTTTACACACAAGCTACCATGCCAAATTTCTTACTCATTACCTCACCATTTGATCTATACTAATATTATAAAGAGGTAATGTATGTAAGTTTGTTTGCAGCAGGAATCTCCGAAACTACTCATCCGATTTCAAAAATTCTTTCACCAATATTTAGAATGGAACTTCAGGGTGGACATAGGCTGTATATTATTCCGTTAAACATTCATATAAATTAAAATATATAATCTAAGTTAAGGCTTTTATGTCCAACAGATGGCGCTACGAGTACGACGCCATAAGTTTGCTTTTCTGTGAAAATGAACTAAAGCGGATCATCATCTATCTATTTATATAAATAAAAATGTAATGTTCGTTTGTTCCTACCGATTCCTTTGAAATTTTGACA